CTGTCCTTGGACTGGGTTCTAGCACAGCAGAGATTCCAAGAATCGTCCAGGATGGGTACTGTTTCATTCTCCTGTACAAAAAGTACAGCAGCTGAGTTGGGAAAAGTATGTGTGTGTGTATTTAAACTTTTCAATTTACAACAAAAAAGAGGGGATAAGCTCTGACTTGTTGGAATAGCACAAGAAGAATGGATAATCTACAAATATATTTTATGCTGTCTTAAGCAAAACAATTGGTTACATGAATTGCATATGTATTTATCATAGGAATTCTAAAGGCATACAACAATGTACCCTGAGGAGTTAGGAGGCTGGAAAAAAGAAAATTAAAGGCTAGACAGAATGTATGTGTATAGTTGTGTTTTTTTAAAAAAAAAAATTGCAAACAAACAAAACCACTAGACTCTAAATAGAACAGTAGGATATTATCAATTAATTCACACTCTAGGAGCCTGGAATGAGAGATTTGGAGTAGGAACACTAGTTCTGAAAATCCCCAATTCTCACCAGGATTTCATGTCAATATGAACTTAAAACATATGCCACCCGAAACAGCATATGACAGGATGTGGGAAATACGATGGTATGACTACCAAATTATTTTAATCAAATATCTTATTGTTGTTGTTGTTGTTATGTGCCATTGAGTCGTTTGCAACTCAGAGCGACCCTATGTACAAGAGCCCTAAACACCATTCTATCCTGTGCCAACCTCACTGTCTCAAACACATTCATTCCCACCACTCCACTCACAGAATCGATCCATCTCATCGAGGGTCTTCCTCTCCTGCACCGTCCATCCACTCTCCCAAAGATGATGTCCCTCTCCAAGGACCAGTCCTTCCTTGCAACATGCCCAAATTATGTCAGACGAAGCTTCGGAATCTTTGACTCCAGGGAACATTCTGGCTTCACCTTCTCCAGGGCAAACCTGTTTGTTCTCCTAGCAGTCCATGGTATATTCAACACTCTTCTCCAGCACCACAGCTCAAAAGCATCAATTCTCTTTCTA